CGGCCCGAAGACTTAGGCCGTACTTCCAAGCGCACACGGTCGTAGTACTTACAAACTTGCCCCTGAGGAACATCTTCAGTAGGCCTGAAACGTCAGGCCATCTAATGAAATGGGCAATGGAATTGAGCGAGTACGACATCCAGTTTGAGCCCAGAACTGCGATGAAAGGGCAAGCAATGGCTGATTTTATCGCAGAGCTCACTCCACCACCTCAGCTGGCCAAGTCCGATCTCCCTTGGACGATCTACGTTGATGGATCTTCCAATGAGAAGGGGTGCGGGGCAGGAATCCTCTTGCTCGCACCAGGAGGTGAGCGATTTGAGTATGCTCTGCGGTTTAACTTTCGGACGTCAAACAATGAGGCCGAGTACGAAGCACTCCTAGCAGGCCTGCGTGTTGCCAAAGGACTGGGGGCCAGTCACATAAAGGTCTTTAGTGACTCCCAGCTAATTGTAAATCAAATCAAGGAGGAGTACCAAGCGAAGGACCCCCGGATGGAAAAATATCTGGGCAAGGTCAGATCGCACCTCGCCCAGTTCAGGACTTATGAGGTAAGTCAAGTTCCAAGATCTRAGAACTCTAATGCAGACGCCTTAGCCAAATTRGCATCARCATAYGAGACCGACCTGGCTAGATCGGTCCCGGTCGAAATCTTGGACACACCTTCAATCTTGGAGSYAGATGTGATRRAGGTKGATACTCCATCACCCACTTGGATGGACCCAATCGTGGAGTTCATCAAAGGAAACCCACCGCAAGAGCCAAAGGAGCAAAAGAAGATGACGCGAAGAGCAGCTCGGTTCACGCTCCGAGAAKGAATGTTGTACCGACGTGGCTTCTCCCTGCCTCTCCTYAAGTGTGTRACTCCCGAAGAAGGCCTCTACATTCTTAGGGAAATTCATGAAGGGGTGTGTGGAAACCACTCTGGCRCCAGGTCGTTATCGGCTAAGGTAATTCGACAAGGGTACTATTGGCCCAGTGTCGAGCAGGATGCAAGGYAGTTTGTGAAAGCTTGCGACAACTGCCAGCGTTTCGCAAACATTATCCACCAAYCTCCCRAACTGCTCACCCCCATCTCGRCCCCATGGCYATTTGCCCAATGGGGGGTGGACATCATAGGTCATTTTCCTTTGGGCAAAGGACAAACGAAGTTCGYCGTGGTCGCTGTGGACTACTTCACTAAGTGGGCTGAAGCCGAGGCACTGTCCCACATCACAGAGTCCAGAGTCACGTCGTTCATATGGACAAACATTGTGTGCCGCTTTGGCATACCCAATGCTATCGTGACAGACAACGGAAAACANCACATCACAGAGTCCAGAGTCACGTCGTTCATATGGACAAACATTGTGTGCCGCTTTGGCATACCCAATGCTATCGTGACAGACAACGGAAAACAATTTGACAATGCAAAGTTCAAGGACTTTTGCAGAAAGCTGGGCATAAGCCACCTCAACTCGTCCCCTGCACATCCAAAAGCAAATGGGCAGGTGGAAGCAGTAAACAAGATTATAAAGCGAGGACTCAAGCTAAGGTTGGACTCCAAAAAGGGAAGGTGGGTCGAGGAGCTACCTGAAGTTTTGTGGTCATATCGAACCACCCCAAGAGAGTCAACTGGCGAAACTCCGTTCTCACTAGCCTTTGGCTCCGAAGTCGTGGTACCAGTAGAGATCGGCGTACCAACAGACAGAGTAGAACAATATGAGCCAGCGAGGAACGAGGAAGAGCTGCTCCTTAACCTGGATTTTTTGGAAGGGAAAAGGGAAATAGCTCAACTGCGCTTAGCAGAGTATCAGAACAGAATGGCCAGACATTACAATACCCGAGTTCGACCTCGAAGCTTCCAAGTTGGACATTTGGTCTTGAGAAAAATTCAGAGTCATGTTGGCACCCTTGACCCAAGTTGGGAAGGACCGTTCGAAGTCAAAGGCATAGTCCGACCTGGAACTTATATGCTGGCCGACCTGGAAGGAAGAGTGCTTGCGCATCCATGGAACGCGGAGCACTTGAAGCGCTATTACCCCTGAAATGTCAAAATCGTCCCAAAATGGGCCTGTCAAAATTTTCAAGGGGCGGAACTTTCAATAAATCGAGTTATTTAATTTCACAACTCCGAGTTCGATTAGAAATTAAATGGGGGCCACGGACTCCCATAAGACTTAAAATTGATCAAATTCGATCCTCAAAACCCACGGGTTCGAGGTGCGATGTCAAAATCAATTACAAACCAAAATTCAATCCTTTGAACGCTTAAGTTAAAGGTGCGATGTTGAAGGTTCAAGAAATTCAATCCTCTAAACCTACGGGTTCGAGGTGCAATGTGAATATTAACAATGGACAAAAATCAACCCTTTGAACGTAAAAGTTAAAGGTGCGATGTAGAAAAGTTCCAATTGCTTCATGTTTTTTCGGACTTCCGAGTTCGAGGAGAAATATTAAAGGTTAATAAAAGAAACTCTCAAATCCAAACCTTAGGAAAGAGGTACGATGTGAAAAGAGTTATCTTGAAGCTTAGCCCAAAGTTAAGTTAGAGGTGCGATCCTTTAAGTTAGAGGTGCGAGATGAATTTATTCATTAGTAAGTTCCAGCTTACAAAAGTGAGTTCAAAAAGTTCAAGGAAAAAGCAATAGAAGAGTCAGAGCTAGATACAGAGCTAAAGCTTATAGACCTTGCAGCTCTGCCCAAAAAGAGAGAATATATGTAAAGGCAGAAGGAAAGAGAGCCTCAGCTACTTCCGAGGTGGGAGGACAGCTCGCCTTGGGAGCCTAGAAGGTTAACCTCCTGAGACCCATCCTGCTGGGAAGGAACCTCCTCTTGCATTGTGCCGATCTCATTGGGCTTTTGGCTTGGAGCGTCCTCTTCTTCCATATCGGAGTAGTCAGAGTCTAGCTCCCTGACGTACTTGTCCACCAGCAGTTGGGGGCCAGGAGTCTCATTAGGCCCAGAAGCCCACTTCTCAGAGTATTTCTTCTTGAGGTCGCTGAGATCGATCCGAAGGTGAGGCATGTCGGCAGCAATGCCCTTCATCAAGAACTTGAAGCCGGCGTCGCTAAAGTCCTTGGCAAACCCATCGAAGTCTGGGTGTTGCCGGAACGACTCCTCCAGCAGTGGTCCACTGGTAAGGCGCTCCTTCAGGTCTTTGAGCTCGGCTGTGAGGCGCCCAATRGAGGCATCCTTCTYCTCAAGAACTTGGGCGAGATCGTCCTTCTCCTTCAGGAGCTGAAATTTCTCCTTCTCCAGCCCCTTGGTGATCGCATGGGCTGCTCGGAGGTGGGCCTTGTGCTTCTCACCCTCCTTCTTCAAAAGTTCGGCCTTGGCATCCACCTCGGCCCTTAAGATACCCACCTCGCCTTGGGCCCTTAGCAGCTCGCCCTTCAGCGTGGTGGCAGCCTCTAAGGCAGCAGAAGAGTTCTCCCTCTCCTTTGCTGCCAAAACCTCCCTTCCATCCAGCTCAGCCTTGACCATAATAGCTGAGTGAATGGAAGCGACAAACGCCTGCGAAAGTCAAAGAACACAATGATCAGATCAAGCTGAGAATCAAGAAAAGAAAAGATAATAATAAAAAGTGATGCAAAGCAGATCTTACCTCGACAGCATTGTCGATGGTCCTCTACAGTACGGACCCAGGATCACTCACGAACTTGGATGCTCTCCTCAGACAGCGATCCAAACACGTGGCCGAGATGCGGGACACCTGGTC